AAGGACTGAAGACCTGTCCAGGGTGTCCCCCCCCCCCCCCCCGCCTCTTGCACAGTGATGGTTGGACATTGGCACCAGTGACTCCTGCGACCCGAAATGGATGAAACAGGTAACAATAATGGATGGACGGACTTTGTCTGACCACAGAACAGTTTTTGACTTTGCTTCAGTCTATTTCAAGTTCAAGAATCTTTGTCATCCCCAAGGGGCAATTAGCTTCACAGTCAGTAGGCGCATAAAACATCCATACTAGACGAGACTGAGACATTAAAACAACAGTTCAGAAATCATCACTGTTCGTTGAGAACGCTACAGGGATGAATGAGTCTTTCAGTCTGTTCGTCCTACATCTGGGCAGCAGATACCTGCATCCAGATGGAAGCAACCTGAACTCACCATGGAGTGGATGATCAGGATCTGCCAGAACCAGCCTGGCCTTGTTCACTGACCTCGCCTTGTGTAGGTCAGGGCTATAAAACTAAATTGCTCAGGGGGGCAGAGTTACTGAAAGCCAAGAGCTCAGGGGCCAGTCATCCAACACTTATTGTCATTACTCAAGTTTATTTTATGGTTTAAAATGTAGTTTTATTTAAAAAGTAACCCATTCGTGGGCCTGATTTGACTCCCAGGCCACCAATTGATTTCCCCTGGTCTATTTTAAATGTTCTCTGGCCCAGAGATGACTTCCTTTTTGCCTGATAAAGACATATAACAGACACATTTTACCTTGTGCCTGTAGCTACGGGTGCAACGCCTAGTGTAACAAGCTACTGCAGTGATCACAAGTGACACAAACTGTGTGCTGTATCATCTAAAGCTCTCCACATGTTAAGGGCAGAACTTCCTGTAAAACAGGAAGTAGTGCAGATAGATATAAAATCAGGCAGTGAAGCCCCTGTAGGGCTTTTTCCTCAGAGCTGCTGAAGCGGGAAGTCTTCTGTACAGCAGGAGGTGTTTTTATCCTATTTTCATGGCTATATTTAGGTGAGGTGAGGATACAGCGTGCTGTGTGCGAGCTGGGGGAGGCATATGTTCTCCCCCCACCCCCACTGACCCACACTTCCTGGTGTGAATTAAATCAAAGCTGAGAAGTGAAACACTGATCTCTTGAGATCTTGTTTGTTCTGTTTGTCCAGCAAAGTAAAAATCAGCCTTTTTGTTCCAAGCTGTGCCTGACATCACCACCGAGTCAAACGTGGTGCGTTCAAGTGACACGAAAACAACACAGCAGCGTGGGGCAATCAACAAAACTGGATGAAGTGACGATGATTCTCTCACGTTGAGCTCAGTGAGAAGAACGTTTGATTTCGTTCACTGAACCTCAAACTCATCATTTAAAAAAAAAAGTTTTATTACAAACTTTACTTTTGAGCCATTTCATCAAATCTTACACCAAAACATTCAGCTCTTTCAGGACAATCCTGCTGTGACGTTTGGCATTGGTGCAACTTTAGCTTTTTGAAATATTTAGCCTCTTCTGCCATTTTTTCCTCACAGAAAATGAATTGAGCTCATCCTTCAAATCTTTAGATCTGTTTACAGTCTTTTACGGCTCTTTTCACATCTTGTTCTGCTTCAGCTTCTTTCAGCTGCCTTCTGCAAATTTAAACTTTTTTTCAGCTACTTGAGCTAATTTCAGCTGTTTTTTTTTTAGCAGTTTTGTGCTCCTTTCAGATTCTTTCTGCTGACTATAACATTTTTGTGCTTCTTCTAACTTCTTTCTGCTAATTTCAGCTTGTTATGCTCCTTTCAGCCTATTTCTGCAAGTTTCAGCTTTTTCTACTAATTCAGCTACTATATAGCTGTTTTGTTCTAATTTAGGATTTTTTCCAGTTAATTCCATATTTTTTGCACCCATTTCAACTTTTTTCAGCCCAATTAATTAAACTTGTGCTCTTTCCACTTCCTTCTGGTAATTTATGCTTCAATCTGATTTTTTTTTTTAGCTATTTTTCAGCTGTTTTAACCTTTTTTTCAGATAATTTGCACTTTTTTGTGCTCATTTCTGCTTCTTTGAACCCAATTGGTGCAAACATGTTCCCTCTTGTAAATTAGTCCTCGTGGCTCAACGAGGTTGAATGAATAAAGGTTGAATGAAAAATTCTGCTTTCTTCTGTTAATTTAAGCTTGTTCTAACTTTATAGTTACCTTTAACGTGTTTTAACTAATTTCAACTGTTTTCAGATAAATTCAAGTTTTTTGTGGTAATTTCTACTACTTTTTTGCCCAATTAACATATTTATGCTAATTTCAGCTCATTATGCTCCTTTCAATTCAGTTTGTTTACCTGCATATAGCACCAAGTCACAACAGAAGTCATCTCAGGGCACTTTCAGCTTACTTATGCTAGTTTCAGCTATTTCAGCTACTATTTAGCTTTTTTATGCTAATTCATAATCTACATAAGTAATGTAGGTCAGAGCATCCCTGATGTATCCTTACATTTCTATGCTGATGACACAGTTGTTTATTGTCGAGCTAAACCAGTTGCTAAGGTTATATGTCTCTGCGTGAGTGCAGCTACAGCGTGCGCTTTCGGGACATAATTACCTGCAGTGTTCCCTCAGTGCGGACTGAACTTGGCAAAAGGGCCTTCTCTTACTCCGCTCCTGTTTCCTGTAATATCTTGCAAAATGACCTGTAGCTCTCAACCTTGACCTCTCTAAGTGGTTTCAAACATCTGTTAAGTTCCTGGTAAGAACCAATGCAGACATGTTCCTGTTTTTAGTTTTCTACACCGCTTTACATTGTAGCTGTTTTTTTTAATACCGTTTTCTTTCATTTATTCTTCTCAATTGATATGCTTTATTTTACGATTGTCTACTGTTGTCATCACTCTGTTAAAAACAGATCTTTTTTGTAAATGAGTCCCCGAGGCTCAATGGGACTAACCTGTATAAGTAAAGGTTGAATGAAAGCATTCCATGTGGTATCGGCCTCCTCAGCTCATGGTTTATTCATACGATGAGCGGAGGATACCAGCAGTCGCCCCGACCTCCTCCCCCACTCCAGTCAGAAATATCGAAGGCTGGTGATGAAGAAGTGAAACGCCACTGTAAAAATATAAATTAAAAACTGCAGCGTTGTGTCTTCCTTTTCGACAGTGCACGCCTTGAATTGTACACAGCAGATAAGAAAATAGAATGTCTTGCAACCTGCAAGGCCTCAAGTTGCTCGCTTCAAGCACAGCCGCTCGTAATTCACCGTAAAAACTACAAAGGTGGTTGTGTAAGTGGACGTGTGAACTGGTGATGGAGCACACTCTTTTTGACACTTCAAAGCTTTTTAAAGCACCATTTGCAAGAAGGGAAATGAGCAAGCATCAAAAATGTTTAAAAAAAAAACCTCATTTTACTCAAACACAACAGCTACACCTATCCATGCAGATAGATGTGCAAACATCTCTTAAAAACATGTTGCATTTACAGACAAAGATGACCTTTTTTCCTCTTTAATCATAGTTGTTTTTTTAATTTCCTCCTCCTGGAGTTTCGTGCAGTAGCTGTTTTAGCAGAAAGCATTTGTCCAATAGGGCTCTCTGCTGCTACAAGGTCAGGTTTTACAGCATTGCCTCATAACTAATGTGGCAGAACAGAACCAGTGCTGGTGTTTCTTCTGCATATTTTCTGTTTTGTGCTTCTAAAGCCAGCAGAAAGCCAAACAATGCTAAAAAAAAAAATAAATAATAATAATCCATCAGAAAATATATAACATCGAAAGTGACGTCCTCTAAATGTGCCAAGATGCTATAAATACAGAACCCTTCACTGACGTCATTCTCTGTCACTACAAGTCCCAGAATGCGTCGCTTTATTCTCCCGCCTCTTTGCCATTGAAGCTGCATTCAAGTACTGCTCCGAAATTTTAAATCTACATTTCTTATCGCGGTTTTATAAAAATATCTAATTCTATTAAATCTAAATTAGACCTGTTTTCGCCTTGGTTCGAAGTGATTAAATACATTTTAAGTTGAAGTTTATGAGGATGTTCATGTAACAGTCCTGATTTCCTATGGAGGCTGGAAAACTTAGAACTTATTACCAAAAAAAAAAAAAATCCAATTTGTGGAGCTTCTTTGAACATCGCCACAAACAAGCTAATAGCTAACGCTATGCTTGTTTTTGCTAGCAGTGATTATTTTTTCTTCTTTTGCCTTTGCTTCCCTCGTACGGTAATGTATTACAAAAACATTTAGAAAGCATTGTCACAATAATATAATGCTATATTTTGTGTTTTTTATGCAATAATATGACAATTAGCATCAGTGAAAAGCAACAAGGAAGTCGCAAACAGCAAATTATGCTAACACAAATGTGCACAATTTTTGTAAATTCACCTCAAACCATATTTTATTGTATATTCTTATTTCCTTTAAATAATAGGGAGTTCAGTATGACATTTTTTTCGTCAAAATATGACAATATGACATTCAAAAATGTCATATATTGGCGCATCTGTACATGTGAAGTAATGTGAAAATATGCAAATAGTATTATTTTACATATATATATAAGGTGAAGAGGATAATCAATGCCACTCAGGGCTGAATATATTAGATATTTTCCACATAAATTGCCTTTTTTAAATCTCCGACCTAACTGTTCATTTTAAGTGGCATTCCATTGAGCTAAATAAAATTGGAGTAAATGAGAAGAACTAAAGGTTAACGTTTAAAAATGTTTCAAAATACACGAAGTCAGTTTAAACTCTTAACTAGTTTAATTGCTTTTTGTCTCGAAACGTTAAAAGTGAATTGGTTTGTTGTTCCAATGCTCGGAAAGCACATTGGCTGCGTTGATTGTCTTGTTACCTACAGTTCCTGAACGCAGCATGTCTCTGTACCACTACCAGCGGCGGCGGCGCTTTCTCCTCCTGTAACCTAAACAATGACTCCTACTACACACCGCAGGAAAGCACAGCGATAGAATGCGTTACACAGAGCTAAAACCCGACATTTCGCTGCTATTGCCACCGCTCACATAAATGTACGGACCGTAAACATGTGGATACCTACAGAACACGAGAAATACGGCGTCGGTAAGTTTATGTCCCCTGTTTTTATTATTGTCAAACTGTCCGCTGCTCGGAGGACGTGTGTGTGTGAGGATGGTGGTAAACTGGGGCTGTTTTTATATTTTGTGTTCTCTAAAATATTTCCAACTCTAACCATCTCTGATTCATTTGTTGCCAAAGCCGCATTTTATATATATTTTTCAATACAACTGCAGATCCATTCCTTTTTTTTTTTCCTCCTCTTTGCCTATTTGAGTGAGAAAAACCAGCTTATTTGCCAAAATTTCAATGCATTTGCTCAAATCTTTAAATTAAAGTCATATCAGGGAGGATTAAAAAGTGGTCAAGATGTGTTGATGAGCCCTGCTGTTTGGTCTGAGGTTCCTCCTGGAATTGTCTGCATCCTTCCAGCGCATTGTTCCAGACAGTCTGGGACTCAAACACGTCAAGAGACCAAACAAGCAACACCAACACAGGGCAAGGCGAGAAAAACCCGTACGGACCTGGTACCGGTGTAAAGACTTCCTCTTAGCTCGTCTTTATCCAGAAAAACAGGGGCTCAATGAGATGTGAGGGGGGGCTTAAGTGTCTTACAATCACATTCCCCAGAGAAATGCCCCATGTGTGATGCTGTGGCCCCTACATGCCTCCACATCAGACAGTCTGTTAGTATTTTTAACACTTTGAGGCAAAGATGTCTTTATAGACCTCTTGAAATCAATATAAATGTGATCTGATAAAGCTTTTAGTTAGATTTGTTTGAATATCCACATGTGGTCTTTGTGTTTGTTGCTTTATTGGTGCTGAAGATCTTTTAAGGTGCAACCTAACATCTTAAACCCGTGAATTTCAGTGAACCTGAAACCGGCTGTAATTTGTTACCTGGTCACCATGCATCCATCCATGGGCACAGTAAGAAGCTGACTACGGTGTTGGTCTCTTCCCCCTGTTTTGTACCCGCCTTGGCACTGTTCCGTACTCGCTTGGGCCTAGCTATTAAATCGCCGAGGCTTTGCTTCGTACTCCCCCTGGCCTTGGCCTGTTATTCAGCCACTTCAAAAAAATCAGCAACGAGCCGCGCATACTTAATCAATTACCAAAAAGGAAAATAAAAATGCACCTTTATTAACTGCAACCGTCTTACTTAAGCCCTAAATTTATGTTTTCAAGTGAGAGTGTGTGTTGTTTTTAAGTGTACCAATTATTTTTAAGGTGGCAGTAAGTGTTTGGTTAAAATGGAAAATAAACATGGACCTATACAATAAAATGAAAATCTTGGTTGTGTAGCAGCCATCAGCTACCCTCCAGTAGATTAAACCATTAACATTAGATTGGCTGCCAAAGTGGGCCAAGGTGGGTTAGAAGCAGGGTCAAGCCAAGTACAATGTAGGATCAAAAAATCAGGGTAGGACATGCTTGTCCTAGGTAAACTGTTTGCTATGTCTTCACATCCTTAATTTTAACCTCTGATATGTATCCCTGACAACCAGTCCTAATCTCAAATTGAAATCAGGAAGTCCTGACTCATCCATGCACTTTAGACAATACAAAGTGGGAACCATGTATTCAGATTTTGGTCTGATTGTGAGCTGATCGCTCCTTTTGTGGATCTCTATACCAAACCTTAAGCAGCTATCAAGAAAGCATCAAGGAAATTTAAATGTGAAAATTTCACCAAGTCTAATTTTAACTACAGATCTAATTATACAATAACTTCTCTCTAGACTAAAAAACACACATGTACGCAGTGGTAAACACGAGTCCAAAATGGCAGCTGCTGAGCATGAAATAACAACAACAACAGTAAAAAACAACCTCCACTTCTAAAATCTACACCTGAAATCAGGTAAACACAGCAAACTACTATAGCTCTTGGCATTTTTGTGTCACATTTTGTAGTCTGGTCATTTGACTGCATTGCAAAATTTTCCCCAGATGTTGGCTTGTTTCCCTTCCCCTATTCATGAATACTAAACTTATCTAGCCTAATTCACTTTGCAGATGTTGAGTGCTTTATGTGTTGGCCACAGTTTTCTAGAGCCTCTAACCCCAATTTTTTAATAGAAGCAAACAGATTTTATTCATTGAGCTACTTAAACCAAACCCCACTCTCAAAGTTCGCTTGCCTAGATAAACCAAAAAGATATATTTCGAAGGCTAAATACTTACTATTGTCCCCAAGTCTGCTTAGCGTGCCAACTTAATTGGCTTAAGTTTTTTTTTGTTGCACATTAACAACAAGAGGGCTCTTTTAATTGGCTTTGATTTATTCTTTAGGACATGTTTTGGCAGAGGTACACTTCATTGTGGTTTGTTTCTTTTGGAGAAAGGAACAAGGTTTTTTTTCCTGTTGTGAAATACTGGAAACACACACACACTCATGCACAACATTAAAGGCATGATGAGAAGATATTTGGTGGCACTGGGTTGTTAATTATGATTACAGCAACTTTAAGACTTTGGCCAAAGTACATTTATTAATTGGCATGCGACGGTCAGCCAAATTGTGTGATTTTATTATTTTACCACCTGAGAAAGATTTTATTGACTGTTTCAGATCAGATGAAAAACACTCACGCTATTGTTTGCTTTAAGGAGTATCATCAGTCCTGCTTAATATCATTATTTGTTAAGGAAAAATTTTTCCAAAGTAACAATCCCGCACTTTCAATTAGGCGTACTTCCACCTTAAAGCCCATCTTAGACTTTCAGTTGCCGAGGGTTTTGAAGACTTCATTGTTTGTGGTTTAAGCAAGTGCATCGAAAGGGTCAGGGGTATTACAAGGCAGAAAATCAGATTAGCTGGTCTACAAATTGTTTGCTTATTTGGCACAGGAAAACATCCTGGTGACAGGCTCATACAAGCTGTGACCATTGATCCCTTCTTGGAACAGCTGGTGCCTTTCCACATCTCCCTTTAAGTTGCCTACCAGAAATAATATTGCATTTAATCACTCCTCAGTTGAGTTAACATCTAGTTTTTTACTGTCTACGAACATATTAGTTCTTTCATAAATGCTTCTTGTAAGATCTGAACATTGGTACAAAGCATGTCCTTACGTTAGCCATTTTCAATGGGACTGTGATCTCCTTGCGATGCTTCAAACGTTTTACCTTTTGACAGAGAGGCTGTTTAAAAAGGCCTTGGAATACTTGCAATCCTTGCAGGGATATTTTGATCTCAGGATGAATTGGGATGAGTTAAGAATATCGTTGTGCCTAATTGGAAGGTTGCAGCGTTTGATGTCGATTCGCCTTACGAGTAAAATAAGGCCCCTGGACGATGGGAGCCTCCGCCGTTCATAAAATATGAATGGACTCTCAATGAGTTGGTATCACAGCGCCCATTAGCTCACCAGTAGAGTGATTACTTGTTAAAAAGCTAAAACGAGAAAGTTTGACAATTAACGAGATAATGTTATTATCTTACTCCTAAATTGGTGTGTTTGGGGTTGAGATACGAAGTCTTTAGACTTGCCAGTAATCAAAAGGAAGAGCATTTCATACATGAAAGTATACTGGTTCAAATCATTTACATAGCCAGTAAACAGGATTAGATTATAGTAGAAATGATCTTAACTAGAAAGGCTTTACGATATAGACTTAAATCTCTGACGTCAAACATAGCCAGACATGTCCATGGGTACATAAAGGTCAATCTGTCACAGAAGACAAACACACTTTGACTATTTCACTGGATACACTAAACACTTGAGGCTGAATTGTGTCATGTCAGAGTAGATTTTTTTGTTCTCCAATAAGACCCTTTAATACAACCAATCAAGCATGTCATTGTTCATCATAATTTAGACAAGTAATTAAACCTTTTTAACGAACTGCTTTAGTCCTGCTCGCATGAAAGTTCAATTCTCCACCAGCAGATCTAATATGCACCACTGTTCCTTCCTCTGAGGGTTGTGGGAAGAAAAAAAGCTAGCAGCAACAGATAAAGGCAGAATGGCGCGGCGATGTGAAAGAATGCTCCTGATCGAGGCCTGACTGAAAAGATGGACGTTGAGCTGGGGGCTTTCCTGTTCTCCCATGGCAGACATCGCAGGTCCCTTCCCTTGGGAGGATGTTCCTGTATGGTTGATGGGGCGCTGTGGGAGGGCGATAGGTGGTCGAGGGTGCTGGCGCGTGTTAAGGGTGGACTCATGTTGGGGTGACTGTCATGTCCTTAAATTCGCCACCCCTTCACCCACACTGTACACACACACACTTTCATTATCCCCACTCTCCACAGGGGATTAGCAAGTTGTTTTGGAAGGGGCGCCCTGAGGCCCATTCCACCATTATACCCATGATTTTTTAATGCAGCAAGCCCCAGGGCGATGTATGGGGGGATGGTGGGTGAATGAGGTGTGGTGAGGTGAAGCCAACCAGCTTGTAATTGCTCTGTCTCCATCTGCAGAGATATAAACTCTTCTCCTCTGTGCGTGTGCACTCACAACTATAGCCATGGACCAGTCCAAGACAATCACGCACCGTGACAACAATAGGCATTGTAGCGCAAAGGTGGAACAAGATGTGAAGAAATTCCCCCACTGGTTCGTTTTATCATTTAAATAAATCACGCTCTATTTATTACGAAGTCCTTTTTCATGAATGAAAACACACAAGCTGCAAACTAGCTGTCTCTTTTTGTTCAGCATTGCTCCACCTAAGGATTGGAGGCAGTTGTGTGATCTTGGTTCTGCTTTGTGGGAATAAAAATATGTCCTTTCATATTTTCTTTTTGCTGCACATGCCAAGAGACGCTTGTGTGAATTTCATTGGCTTGGGTGACACTTACAAACCAACACACTATAATTGCCTGTCCACATCTATGTGTAATGTTGAGACAGGCAGCTGGAAGGGGGGGGGGTGCTGGTTGTTCGCTGCATTTTCTCTGCCGTGGCGGTTCTCCCAGTCTGAAGATGATGCTTTCTCTCGAATGCCTGAGTGATTACCAGCTAACCAGAATACATATGGTGATTTTAATGGCTATTATTTCAATTTGGCTTGACGTGAATTATTAGTCTAAT